GCGCGCTTTGCGCGCCCTCAGCACCCCCCTTCCCCAATTCCTAGATACGCCCCTGCTAATAGTGTAAAAATATTCCTAATTGTTTTCACCACCTTACATGCAAGCTGCCATTTAATTTGTTTGCTGTGGTTATACTAACTTATGTAAAAGATGTGAGTGAACTAATTGTTAAGGCATCTTAATTGTCATTTGTCGAATATAATGTGTGTACATAATATATGCATGTACAGTGTACATCTCATGGGCCTCAAGTCAAAGAAATGCACTTTACCAAACCTTGTATATTCAGTAGAGGAATGAGTTTTAGTTTTAACAGTTTCAAAAAGATCACTAAACTCAAAAAATGATAGACTGCACAGCTTACAAAAATCAGTCATTTATATAATATTAACACAAAGAGCATAAGGTCCAATTGTAGCAAACAATTAACAATAATAAGGCTTGCTCTAGACTAACGTCGTAGCTGTATGGTAACCATGAGGCTAACTTCAAGAGCAAGTTACGATTAACAAAGATACGGCCTAGATCTAATTAATAACACAACTTCTTTAACAAGTACACTAATTAACACATCTCTAATTAAGCATACATGTACATACTATTAATTAATTACTGTAACATATCTGAATACCAAGTGTCTTTCTTTACTAATGAAGAGGTGACTGAATTTAAAATTCTTTTCACCAAACAATTCAATCACTATCAAGATATTATTGATAGAGAAAGCAGGCTCTAATGCAGCAAGAATTAATTAGTTATTAAAGGTACATGTACCACATGTACTTTAAACCCAGGAAGACACTGCAGTGATTGAAGAAACCCACAACTATGCAATTATGGTGCAATACGAGTTTATTATGATATCATTATCTTGTTATTATAGGAAGGATATACTGCTCTTATTGAAGCAGCACTGGGAGGACATTATGACATTGTACAGTTGCTGTTAAATAATGGAGCTGATCGAAGCACTGCAACTTATGTGAGTATCATGTAATTAATGCACCATAAATCTTTCATTCAATTTCCTTAACTGTCAGTTTCAAATGAGAAAAACATCACAGGTGCAATACCTGTACATCATGTAGTTTGAGCCATGCGTAGGTATGAAGCAAGGGTAAAGCAGTCGCCCTGTCTGTGTGTTTGCTTGAACTCCACTTTTGAGCTGACACTGCTTTCTTGTAAAATTTTGGAGATAAACGTATCATTTAGAAAAAGTTATTTTCTGTCTGGAAAATGATTGATTCTTCTTTTCCAAGGCAGAAAAAGCTCACAATCATGCCAAATGTAGTCGGTACAAATATATCTCTTTGGTGGTCAAAGCTAAAGAGTAGCAGGACAAATAAAACAATAAAACAAAAGCTCATCTTTCATTAATATGTAAGAAATTGCTCCAATCACCTTCGTTTTAAAGATAAGATAGCCCAAACATTCATACCTTGTAAGTTTACACGAGGCTCTCTTCTTCCAAAGTAGCGGCCAGAGTCTTTAAACATCAGGGACTCAATAGACGTTTGTATGCAACAAATAGAGCCTAAGAAATGTATGCTAAACTGTTTAAAAGTCGAGAAAAACTAAAGCTTTCTTCACCACTCAGGGCCATGTGCCACCATTTTAATGTGTGTTCAGGTGGAGCATGGCTTATTTGAGCCACACCTTCTTTGCAGCAATGCAGCCACACCTTTACTTTGCTGCAACATGTTTCATTCTCACCACTTGACTGAATTGCAATTTCTGCATTCAACAAGCTACATGCACCACTGATTCTTGCCCACTAAAATTGTTTTTTTAAATTTTTTTCCTTATTAACAAAATAATAAGTCAAAACACAAAAGTACAACTATAATCCATGACTAAATATTATAGCCATTCTTTCTCTGGCCCACTGACTTTAATTCCTGTACAATTATGACTCACATACTATGCACACTGCTTTTCAGCCTTTACCTTAAGATCAGGCAGTTTCTTTATTAAATTAAAAACACAAACTACTCAACCTACATAATGCCGTATAGCAGGAAATTTTCGTGGCCCAAAGTTTTTGTGGATTTCCTGTTTGTTTCAAAATTCATGAAAATAAAATCTGCGAAAATTGATTCAATACGGTTCAAGATGGCCAAAAAGTAGAAAGCCACGTAAACTAAAGCCACGAAATTCATTTTTAGACGGATCCACAAAAATTTTGGGCCACGAAAATTTCTCGCTATGCACAGCCAAAAGTTATCATGCCTGAATCAGCACTTTTGCCCCAAAATAATGGACCATGTCTGATATCCTATACTGGTACAGCCCTGACACATTATTTTATAGATCATGCCTGTTATTCTGGCATGAATCAGTACAGATTTTATCATGATTGTATCATGACTGATTTTCACAGTTGTATCATGACTGATTACATGAAAACCATGATTCAGGACTGATTCAGACTGATATCAATCCTGATCTAAGGCGATAACAATTGGTTGTGTACGGCAGTTGTGGCAAGGGTCTGCACTTAAGTGCTCTCGTTGTAACTAAAGCTAGGTTTACAGTATATGCAGCTTCACCCGTGAGTTGTGACATCACTTATAACATTGCACACAACATAGAACCAAAGATGGGTTGGTCTTATCATTGCTCTTACGTAGCATTAAATGTAATGACATCACAGCGTATATTGTAAACCTAGCTTAACAAACCTCTTTATTTGGCTCAGGAGTCCTTACCCCACTTTATGGACTCCTGATTTGGCTCTACATGTAGTTATCATAATCATGGCATTGAATGTATTATCATAGCCTTCAACCTCATATTCTTGTCAATACACTGAATAGCCCCAAATTTTTGTCAAAAAAGGTGAAATATTTTGTAATTTTGTAAAAATTGAAAATTTTAATTTTAATAATTGTAATAACTGCACAATTTTCCAAATAATAATGATGAATATTTGATTTTTTTTCCTAAAATCTTTAGTTAGACCATAATAAAGTAGAAACGTACTTGTATTACCTCAATAATTATGTACATTGTACATGTACATGTACTTGTATGAGGAACAGAGCTTAACAACATTTTAACAACTAGTAATTACACACTTAATGTTATTTACATGTATGTTCTTATTTTTACAGCGAGGAGATACTGCTTTAGTTTTAGCTGCAGAAGAAGGATATGATAATATTGTACAGTTATTAAGTGAAGAAGCTGATCCAAATACTTCAGTTAATGTGAGTCAGTATTATTAACCTTCACATCTATTTTTACCTATTTTATTTACTTTTACTACTCCCACTTGTCAATGTACACCGGAATACTATATAGCGGGATTTATTGACGAATGTTTTATTTTGATGAGTTGACAATTTAAAATAAAATGGCAAATTTTGTAACCATCAAAAGTTGTACCATGTGTACATAAAGCACAAATTTCTTTTATTCATCAAATTAAAACTCGCCAACATAGGAAATTTATTGTTTTCGTCAAATTTTTTACTCGTCAATAAATCCTGCTATACAATATTTAGTTTTAGTGTATATACTGTATTATGATGTTTACTGATGGAGTAAGCGAGTGACCTACATGCACATGTACATGGTACTGGACGAACTTAGGTACATGTAGTAATAATAATGTGAAAAATTGAATAACTCTACTTCATGACAGAGCTGGAAATATTAGCAGGGAAGATATGATAAGCAACCACCAAAGTAGAATCTGCCATTTTAGTTCATCCTGACCACATGCAGCCACTAGAATTATTGCCAATATAAATTTTGTCAATTATGAATTTTTAGCAAATTGCCAAATATAACTTCCATCAATATTTCTGACAGTATATGGTATTTAACTTACTGTATGACTCATTGTAGAATAAGAAGTTATATGAAGCTGCTAAAAGAGGTGATTCTACTGGTGTCCAGTCTGCACTGTCTCAAGGAGCTAATGTAAACTATCAGAATCCTAAAGAGGTAACTACTGCAGTATATGCATACATGTACATGTACAACATGCTGTTATGCTGATAGCCTGCTGCCCTTGGACATGGGTCAGGTATACATGCATGTACATGTAAGTACAAACATGCATATTTTGTGGTGTCATTTCACAATTGTACAATGTAGTCAATGTACATGTGCATGTAGTACACTAATCACTGTAGAACTGTAGTTACTAGTGAAGAGTTATTATTGGCAAATTCTTCTGTGAGAAACTGCCATTATATGAAAATTTATCAGTTGCAAGTTTTTATTCTGCCAATAATTTCAGTTATACTAAAAGTACATGTAGTAAAGTACTTTATGTTTTTGCAATAGACTGACATGTACAAATGTTTTATTGTGTTTCTTATAGTTTGGAGCTTCTTCTCTTCATGTTGCTGCAAGAGGAGGATATCATGATGTGGTACAAATTTTATTGTCTGCTAGAGCTACAATTCGCCTTAGAGACACAGTGAGTATATACTGGATTAACAAAAATGTGTTATAGTTATGATGTATCATTCTAATCTAATGATATCAAATTTAGTATGTTTTACTAAAAGTACATTGGTGCATGTAACTTCTGGACTTACAATCTACATGTATTTCACACATGTATAGTTTATTGGCCTCGCCAGCGATTAGCGTGGGTGAGGACTATGTAGTTAAGTGTGTTGTCTGTCATTCATTCATTCATTCATTCATTCATTCATTCTGTCTAGAAGCAATCTCTCACTTTGAGGTATTGTGGTTTTAAATAACTTCTCCATGCGCTAGAGAAAGTTACTTTCTTTAGCTTTATCAAGTATAGATGGCAGTGCAAGGCACCAAAAGCTAACAATCTTGCCAAATGTAGGTAGGTTTTCCTATCATTTTGTCATGCTTCCATTAACAGGGTTATCTAGTATCTCTAGAGAGACACAATAACCTTTTTTTAAAAAAATGTAGCAACTTTCTTTGTCTTGAAGAAAGGAATGCCTAAAAATTACTTACCTCTTGACTTTACACGAGGCACTTGTCCTTAGAAAGAGTAGTTTAGGCCTAAAAACTTCAGACACTTCACAATAATTTGTATGGAACAAATAGAGCCTACTAAATGTGTGTGTGCACTGAGTAGAAGTCCAAGAAACTCAAGCTTCTTCCAGCAGTTACTCCAAGAGGCACCGTTTTACTCTAGCAATCAAGATTTGACACTTTCTCTGTACTGTAATGCACCTATCAATGAAAACTCCCACTATCCCCCTCCCGGGCTACGTTAGGGGACCCTAGGTAGATTTGACTTTTATTAATTGACTCCCGCCCCTGAGGTGGGGCATTTGACTAAATTTTGGTCAAATATGCCCCACCCTGGGGTCAGTATGCGGAGATTGAACAGTGCTCTACCGATTATTTCAAATTTCAAAGTAATGGAGAAACGTGTTCTTGTGAGATTTGGAATGAACTCTCGCCCTGTTTCGTTCAAGACAGGCGAATCCTTTGATGAAGATGTTGTGAACCTAAAGAAGAGGATTAGTGAATCCTTCAGAGATATTATTAAAGACTGCGACTCCGAATCTCTACTGATACAAGTCAAGGATGAGGAATTCGACGACTTTGTTGATCTGGAATGCGCTACTGATATACCCAGCAAAGGAGGGATTTTAAGAGTTTATAAAGTGAGTGTATATTGACCAATGTCATGTCACTAAGCATTCGATTAAAACCATGACTACAAGATGACTAAAAGGGGTTAAAACTGATTAATTAATGTATGCATGTGTAACCTGGAGTTACCCACAGCTGCATATTTTTTGAAAGTATAAAGTCATAAACTCAAGCTTCTTTCAGCATACTGTATGGCTAGAAAATTTCGTGAGGTATTTAATTTTGCTGATTTCGTGGGTAACTTTTTAACCACGAAAATTAATACCATGGAAATGCTCACTGCGCATGCGCAGCATGTGAAAATCAATGACTTAATGCAAGTGCACGTGCAAAAACGCGAAATTTAACTCCCTCGAAATTAAAGAATTAAGAGCTTTTCACTAAAACATGAAAATTTATGCCCTCGAAATTTTCTAGCCATACGGTACCATTTTACTCTAGCAATTAAGATTTGACACTTTCACTACTGCATGTGTTTGAGCCACACCCAGACACCCTTTAGGTCTAATAATAAGTAAAGTGCTACATATATACTTGTAGGCAAATCTGAAGCAAATCAAATAAATTCTTTTAGCCAATGGACCAATGGTGTCTTTTTGATTTATAAATTAAGCTCATTTATTATCTAGAAACATATCGTTGAATCTCCTGTAACGGAAAACACTGAGGCTTGTATCCATTTGACTTCAAACAGCCCTGGTATTATAGTACAATATCCTACTTTCCCAGTAAGAGTTTATATAGTAACATTCTGTTTTTATCATTATTTTGTGATAGATAGTAAACGGTAATTCAAGCCATCATACTAGCTCTTTAATTATAAACAGTCCCACTGTAAGTTGGTAATTACCTATTTGTCTGAATTATTGTTTAATTTCTTGACAGAATCATCAGAATACAACTACTGACATTACCCAATTAAGTCAGACTGAATCTGATTATATACGAAAGCAAACCACAATTTATGGGAAACATCCCACAAAGAGAATATCACAATGGCATGCTAAAGTCAACAATGCTGCATATGAATTGGCTCTCACTGATCGCAAGATGTTGTTATTGCCGAGGCAAAAGTTGATGGAGGCCGCACAAGAAAAAGTACGTGAAAGTGGATATTCCTTTATGAAAGGGAAAAGCCGTTCAAAAGAAGCTGCTGAGCATTCTGCTGAAGCTACTACTCAAAAACGTCCCAAAATCGACGAAAATATCAGAATGAAACGTATTATGGAACTGAAGGAAGATGTAAAAGATATTCAGGATCGAATCGGTTATAAAGAAAAGCAAAGAGAGGAAGCAAGTAATTT